TTATGCCATAAGTGCAAATGGGTTTTATTTTAATGGGGCATGCATAGTTATGTTGAGATTGAAATGATGCAATATGGGAGATCTCACTCATAGCATATGACAAGTTCAATGGATTGTCAAACATGACGTGACCAATAGAATTTTCACATGATATCCTATGGAGTATAGCATCACAACTAGGCAACTCAACATACTCATCATCATATTCATCATAAATGGGTAAGTCATGACATGAGGAATTCGCACTAGCATGAAACATGGGTGGATCAACATCATGCAAGCAATCATTTGTAAGATAGTCCACTAGTGGGACAAGAGAAGTACCATCACCTATGTTACCTTTAGAGCTTCGCTCATGTGTTGTAGGTGAGGTTGCAACATGATGGTACTATGTGGGGGTACCTCTTCTTCCACCATGGTCATCGGTTCTCCCATCGGAGGTATGGACTTGTCGAGGATTGGCGCTTCGTCTTGTTGGAGATCTAGCACCAAAAAAGAAAACACACTCAGAGTAGAGGTTAAGTCGTTAGAACTCATAGTGGCCTCACCTGCCGTGTCAACTACCTCACTCACTAAGTGTTGTGGCTCACTCACTCCCGGTATGATGCTCGCACTCATATGGTTGGTGGAGTCACTCAAATGGCTCTCAACCTCACATAGGATGTGTGGCATGCTCTCATGTGTCTGGCTGGTGGTGGTCACACTCATCCTCTCATAGGAAATGCACTCAATGTCATATATGGTGGAGTCACTCATCTCACTCATGGGGTGGTGGCTCTCCTCACATGGCAATTGGGGCATCTCGTCACATGTGGGTGCCGGAGAGATGTTGGTGCAAGTGTCTCCATGCTCAACTCCTATCGCCGCCTTGGTTGAAGGGATAGTCCCATGCTCAAACTTCTCATCCATAATGCCTCCAAAGATGAATGCCGTAGGATGTGGCAAAACATCACTCTCCTCCGAGACCAAAGAGAGGGTCTCATGTGCGATCTCGTAGCTTGACTCGGAGTATGAGTCCAATATGGGCGCCGTCTTCATGTTGTTGAAGAGGTTCATGCTCGTCGCCGTTGTCAAAGGGGATGGCCCTAGCTCGACCTTCTTATCGCCGTCTTGTTGTAGGAGGCCCGTATGATGTGGCACCTTGTGGCTCATCTGCATGACCGAAGGGAAATTCCCATGCTCGGTCATTTTCCTTGAGGGGCTTCCAAAGATGGAAGTGTCGCCCTCGCTTGTAGGTGATCGCCTTGTTGTTGAAGATGTTGATGTAGGCAAACTCATGGGAAGTAGGCAAAGATGTCGTACGTCCAAAGGCGAAGATGCCTTGACAACACTTGGCAAAGATGCCGAAGTGGTGGTGGTAGTAGCCGTAGTGTGCTCTTGGTGGTGCTTGTCTCGCAGTATTCTCTTGAGCTCATGAAGTTTGGTCGTATCTTGATGTAGAGCTTGTTGGGACTTGTAGGTTTGCGCGTGTCGAGCATCTTCATGTTGATGGTGTCGTTGTCGTGCTTGAGCTCATAGTAGATGTCATTCGTCTTCGTCGTGCACAAGATGCTTGGAGGTGACTTTCCCTTCATGACGATGTGGGTCACGAATGTGATGGTGGTCGCCATGTAGATGTGGACGTGGACGACTTCACTTGCATTGCGTGGGCGCTCCAAAGATGATCGACTCGCTCGCCATCGCCTTGAGGATGATAAAGGGGAAGAATGGTTGATCAACAAGGTCCGAATCTCCTCCATCCTTGCATCTTCCTCCTTCTTTTGTGCGGAAAGCTTATTGTCGAGGTAGTCTCTTGTACGTAGCTCGGAGTGTTGCATGTCGATGGCGAGGTTGTCAATGCGCTCTCGCAATCTTGATTGTGTGCCTTGCATTTGTCGTTGTAGATCGAAGATTGATGATTTGGTGATGTAGTTGTTCGCGCCGTCATTGTTGTCTAAGACCGGAGATGAAATGCCTTGCCTATCCATCACAAGACTCGAGAAAATATGAGTGGGAGAAAGATAAGAACTATACCAAATGTACCTTGACGGATGTTGAAGATGGATCAATGATCACTCAATGACGTAACAAGGAAATAGCACAATTGGTACCAATCTCATCAATTTCTCACACCTACACAAATAAGGCTTATGGTGGAGCTCGGTGAGGATAGTGGCACCAAAATTTGATGCAAAATGTTAGCAAGAGTCAATAATGTTGAAAGAGATTCACAAATTCACAAGTGAAACAAGTAGACCAATAGCAACGAATGGCACATGGAAACGCACACACGGATAGATAAATGGGGTCGTGCAACCAAGGAATGAGCACAAAATGTGGAATCCACGAAAAACGCTCGTGTTGCACAACTCAAGAGAGACACTAGCATGATTTATCAATAGGCGGATATGACACTTGTGCACAACCTATAAGATTTAAAATGGATAAATTTTCTATCCCAAGTATGCTATGTATGTATGGTTCCCGGTGTTTCTCTCAAGATGATCGGATATGACAATCTTATGTGCAATGTGGTATGATGCTATGGCTATTGCTTACAAGCTCTTTGCTCTTTATCTTTTGCTTAAAAGCTTTATTCTTTTTTTTGGATATGGCCACAATGTGAAATGCACAAACCAAGCTAGCAATTGTGTATATGTGGGAACAAACTTGTGACACAATGGATGATATGATACCAAGATGATATGGTATGTATGCAATGGAAGGTGTAGATCACTAATGTGCACAAGTAACGTTGCCGGCAATACTCAAATGGCTAGTCTCGATAGGCAAGTGACGCAAAATGGGCTAGGGGTTATCAATGCAATGGCAAGAATATACAATGATGTCGTCGAGGTTACCGTCCTTATGTACGATGACGACCTCGTGGCGATGATGAGTGGCGGTGTTCTCGATGTAGATACCAAGATGATGGAGACTCATCCCTAAGTAGCCGAAACACCTTAGGAAACGGAAAAACCGCGAACTCAAATCTCAAATGTCAAATGGTGGTAGCGGGAATGCGGTGGTGGTTACGGAAGCTCAATGGGATTGCGGAAATGCAATGATGGGTTTTGAGACGCAATGCGGGAGTGGAGGGTAAGGTGGTGGACTATACACGGTGTCGGAGTTGGAAACACGGTCCCTAAGTAGCCTAAACACCTTAGGAGACACAACTCTCAACACAAACAAAATTGGGTTAAGTTGGGGTGGCGGAAGTGTATGGTGGGCAAGCCTATGCGGAAGTTATGGTGGTGGTTGATGAAGAAGCAACCGTCCCTAAGTAGCCTAAACACCTTAGGAGACTCAAATCACAACTCAAACAACCACTAATATAATGGGGAACAAAAATGGGTTAGGTTGTGGAAGGCTATGGTGGTTTTGCGGAGGATGTGGTGGAAGCCCTAGACAAAGATGCCAAAGTTCCAAAAAATTGATGGAGTCAAATGGTGTTGGAAGTATTTTTGTGGGAAGGGGGTGTCAATAGCTTCAAAACGAGCTAAAGAACGTCAAAAACGGACTCCACATGAATTAGTTATGGTCAAAACGGTGAAACACGGGAGGCTGAATTCCCAGGGGCCGGACATCCGGGGTCGGGGGCCGGATATCCGGGGGCTGATGTCCAGAACCATGCGGATTTTGTGCTCCAGGAGCCGGATGTCTGTCTTGGGGCACGAATGTCCGGCCCGAAGATTCCAGATCGGGATTGGGACTTCGAAACTCGATTTGGGGCGAAAATTGATGATTTGGGGGGGGGCAAAATTGGAGAGATTTCGTGGATGATAAGTCAGGAAACTTGGGAGAAAGCTAGATCTACTAAAGACACAACGAATCATTAGGTCACACATATGCTAGATCCTCGAAACACAAAAGGAGATACAAGATCCACGATCAACAAAGGACGATACAAAGGTAACCGGTTCTTCTCCGTGAGGAGGTCTTGAGGGGTCTTCCCATGAAGGGGTCTTGAATCCAAAGTGGATCTTCTCCGAAGAGGTAACGGTCCCTCGCAATGGAGTAGATCCGGATGGATGAGCGAAGCTCTAGGGGTCCTACGAAGCTCTATCTCCCATATGAGCTAACACAACGCTAACCCTGACTAGGAGGAGGTGGGGGAGTATATATAGTCGTAGTACAAGTTGGGGATGAAGTGAAGGGGTACATGGGCCAGTGGCCCGTTACATTGCGCGCAGGGGTGGCCGGATGTCCGGGCGTCGGGCCGGATGTCCGGGGCTTCGGGACGGGCCGGATGTCCGGGCTGGCCTGGGTTGCTTCCAGATGCATTCGGTGATGGAGGGGCCGGATGTCCGGGACTTAGGGAGGAGCCGGATGTCCGGGGCATGGTGTCGGATGTTGGGGTTGTCGGGGTCACTTCCGGAGCTCTTTGGATAGGAGGGGTCCAGATTTCCGGGGGTTGGGCCGGTTGTCCGGGCTGGGGCCGGATGTCCGGCCACTGTAGCAGCTGGCTCTTCTTCCTTCTATTCCTTCGCTTCCGCGGACGCTTGGCCTTGGTCCTTGGGCTCTCCATGGTCTCCTCAGGTGTACCTGAGTATGCACAAGGCCCGCGCTTGAAGTAGCATCCATGTCTTACATGCGGAAAGGGAAGATTCGGAAAGGAGCGAGTTCACCTTAGGTCCAATGGCGTATGCTCGAGTGCACATGGGGATGATCGTAGGATGCTCTGCATCAATCGCTGAGACACCTAACTTAGAACCCCTACCTCAAGATATGTCGGATTTAGCACTGACGGGACCACCGGGTGAACACTTTCAGCACTTGGTAGAATTTGATTCTCTCCTCAAAACTTGTAGGAAGGTGTAGAGGGTGTAATAAAGATTTTGTGTACGTGATGTTTTTAGGATACGGTATAGACACATGCGCTCATATATATACGCACGTACATTCACCCCTATAAATACACACGAACATCCTACCCCTATGAGCACCTCCGAAAGACTGAGCCGACATATTATCTAGAGATTGACGAAGTCTCCATAGACGTCTCATAGTCGACGAGAACATCACACTCTCGCGCATCGCCTAAAATACGAAAAAGAAATCCAGAATAATGCGAGCACACTGGTGGGCTGGAAATACCAATGTTCTCCTAACAATCCAACCACAGGTTGGATCACTTTTGTGCACGTGATTTGATTCCACACGTACCTTCCACCACAGACCCCCTGCAAACATTACGGATTTACTATGACCAAAAAAATAAAACATCAGAAATGCGGTTTTCGATCTTTTTCTTCCAAATGGGTATCTAATCGTTGTCTGTGCAGTTCAAGTTAATCTGTAAATTGCATTGTCATAACACCAAAACACTTACGAAGGTAAATGTCCTTTCAAAAGGGTCGTGGGAGAGCACCGCGGTAGGAAAATACCTCCTGCATGTTTGAACTCACTTGAAACGAACCAACCAGAAATAAAACCCAGAACATGCGGGACCAAAAGTACAATGCCGCAAACCCGCTTCGGCCTTGTTCGTTTAATCCCACCCCCGCCAGGATGGGAGGGGTTTTGGCCCGAACCCCGTGGTTTATACCCTCGCCGGGGCTGAATCCCCGCGTAGCTTACATGTGTGTTCGGTTCAACCCGACCGGGTTTATATCCCATCCGATCCCACCCCAAACCGCAGGGATTTCACCGGGCTTTGACCCACGTCGCCCGCCGCGTAGAAGAAAACCTCGTCTCGTCTTCTCGGAAGAGAGGAGAGGGCGAGAGCGGCGGCGCCAACGCCGACAGGGAATGACTGGGCGACGGCTAGGGGGCAGAGGGACGATCTCTCATTTCCACTAAAGG